TAAACACCTCTTTCTGGTGTTTCAGCATCTTTTGCCTTTCTCTGTGATCTACTTTCCTTTTCCTCCCTACATAATCTTTCAAGACCAAATGCTAGTTGATTCTTCCCCTGAACTCCCAAATAAAGTATTTCAATGTGCATCTGGTTTCCCTACTGAAAATGGCTTGTCCTAAATACACATTAATGATTTCAGTTTTTTAAAAAAATATGTTTCAGTGGTGGGAAGAGAACTTTTGTTTTTTATACTGTCTAGAGACCAATTAAATAGTTCTCTAAATTGCTGAGTGACAGAGATTTTACACACTGCATCCTCTCTTCATTGCTCCTCGCCCTTCATTATTTATCCTCTTGCCTGAATGAGTTTACAACTGGGAGGCTTTTCCTGAGCTTTTGGGAAATGTAATGAAGTAGAATGTATGTGTGTGAATGCATATATTCATATACAACCATTTATGGGATGAAATTCTATGTGCATAAATCTCAGCAACTCGAAATGAATAAAGGGCTCATGCAGAGAAAGATTTTGCTGGGCAATGATGCTTCTTACCCCAGCACCTGGGGAACAGTGATGCTTCTTATCTAAAGATGGGGGAGAAATTCATTTGGTTCACATGTTAATGCAATTTTACCTAATTTCTCACTTCTGAACCAGTATGAAAACTAAAAGTCAGTCATCCTTTGAGATTCACACATCTTTGAATTTTGGAATGGAATTCCCTCCTCAAAAATGTGTGGGTTAATAGAAGGGAAATGACATTAGAAATAAATCAGATTAAGAGCATTGTTTTGTTGTTGTTAGTCACAAAGTCGTTTCCAACCCATCGTGACCCCATGGACAACATTCCTCCAGGCTTTCCTGTCCTCCACCATCCCCCAGAGTCTACTTAAGCTCACGCCGACTGCTTCAGTGACTCCATCCAGCCACCTCATCCTCTGTCGTCCCCTTCTTACATATAAAGAAAAATGCATACACCAGTGGAATTGTTGGGTGAAATATGTGCAACATGCATATGAGTTTTCAATTTTTAAAACAAAAATATTACCAGAGTTGGAGATGATCTATATTTGAGTCATAAAAAGTCCTGGAAGCTGAAGACAAATCTCACATAAGCCTAGCATAAGGGAAGTGGGAAGAAACTAAAATTAAGAGACTCATTCATTCCTATTCATACTTTGGTTTCCACTTTCACTTACACCTGCTTCTTTCTTTACAGCCATGTATTAATGAGAATGCAGGTATGAATAGGACACTGGCAACTCATGCAAAAACTCTTGGATCCACATCAAACAAATTCCTTCCATAAAATTAGAATGGAAGAAATCAATCCTTCCTCTTCTTTTCTGTTGTTCTAGACATGCTAAAACTTGTAGGGAAGAAGAGGAGAACCAATGTCAGGGAAACCATAGCCTGGGACTATGTCCCTGGAAATTACACCATGGGATCATAATCCTTTTTTCCCCTGCACTGTCCCTAAAATGATGCTACATGAATATGGCACACTATTTGTAGTGGCATTCCAGCCCAAATCCAACTGATTCCCTTTAAATTGTTTGTTTGTAGAAGAGAAGGAGAAGTCCTTAGACTATCTGGTATTCCTATAAGCTTAACACTGGCCCCTCCACAAAGGCACCTGAAGTCTGTTTCCCCAGAAGAAATCCCCTTCCCATCTTCTGGACTGTCTTCCCTGAAACTACTCAAAAGCAGCTAAAGTGCTCAGACTGAGAAATTCATCCAGAGGCAGATGTTAAGCCATTATTAACTTCCCAGCTCAGCTGAGCAACTGCACTAGGGCTTTGTGGTCAACTTTTGAGTGGTGCAGCAAATATGCAAGGAGCTTGTACTCAAGGACTGTCCGGTGCAACAAAGTAGGGTATGAACATGTAAAAGTGGTCCTGCATGGTAAATATTTTTACATTACTATTATGCCTCAGTGTTTTAAATTCTTCAATCATATAAGAATGAAAGCTGTGACACTAGTTTTACATTTAATAAATCAAGAGGATTAGGTCATATATGAGAGACCAATTCATTGACAAAGTTAGGGAATGCTAATGCTGGGAAATCTGGCTTTCTTTCAAGCTCACTCACTTCCAAGTAGGCCAGGTCAGGGGAGGGTTTTTTGCAGATGAGATAGGCCATGATTTGCACATTAAGGGAATTTGCGCAGATCACACACTTTGCACACCATGTAATTTACAACATCCAGTTTGTAGAAATTGCATGACTCCTACAACCTTCCTTAGATATTTTTTTAAAGACACACACATACACAATACAGCCTTAGAGATAGATGTCAGCAAGCTATCAGCACAGAACTGTTGAATGGGAATCAAGAGGCCAAATAATAAAGACCATCCACTTTCACCCCTGTCAGATTCCTTACCCATAGATAAAGTACAATTAAATGTCAATGTTATCAATATATTGGGTTGGAGCCAGTATAAGGACAGTATCTGGCAGGTTGCCTACTTCCTTGCCAATTCCCTTCTGCCCAGCCAATTTCATTAAGCAGGTGATGGGTCCTGCTGACTGCATTGTGCACACTTATCCTGGCAGAAGCCCAAAACTGAGTGGAAACAATGGCTTCTGGAAAGAAGCAGGTCAGCAGATATTGCCTATGTGAACCTGGCTGACCTGCCTCTTCCTTCCAAAAATGAAAATGCCCACTTATGTTGGATTGTCCCAGAATTACTAAAACAACATGGTGCAATTGGTGGGGAGCCTTTGTGCAGTTCATTTGGCAGGATGGAAGAGAAGGGCTGGAAGAAACCTTTTGGATTCTGTCCTTATTCATAGTTAAAGTAGACCCACTCAGATCACTCAGTCATGGCCTACTTAAATCCCAGTGATTTCAAGGGGACTGCTCTAAATATAGCAATGTCCAAATCTAATTCAAGGTTTTCTACATTTTATGTAGCTCTCAGAACATCAAACTGCTCACTTTCCTTCTCATGGATGTTGTTAAATTGCTTGAATGTTATTACCAAATTTAATGGACTTGCAAAAGTGTACTGTGTAATCAGTCAGGAGAAACAAATACTCTCAAATCACTTGGCCTTCATGTCGAAATATTTAATCATATGGAAATGGAAGGTAGAACATATCAATAACATTCATTCAAGGCATGCAGTATATAATTAATCTTTGGAGAAATATTTAAAGAGGAGAATAATCAGACAGCTTAATCATTCTAGCTATTCAGAAAAATAGCATGGACTGCTTTTTAATTCTGAGTGGATAAAGTCTTTGCTTTTGAGGACATTAATATGGAGTAAGTCTCTGCCATTATACCTTACACCAAGTCTATCCAATATAATCCTAAACAGGAAATATGGAAAGTTGAAACAGAGAGCTAACACATTTTGGTGTTCATAGAATCAACATACATTTTTGTTAAACTTTTGAAACCCACTAAAATCAATTTCTGGTGACTAATTACTCAAAAGAAAAGAGCAGAATTCCAGTATTTTATGTACACAGTCCTATGCATGTTTGTTACTGCAGCATCAGTAGTAGTAAATTTTATTGTTGTGACCACTGTCTTATCATGAAAAGGACAAGATTTAAGCATATACACTAAGTAGAACAAAACTGTAAGCACAAAATACATTAAACAGTTACAACCCAATGGATAGGCAAAATACTAAAAGAAGCCTGAAATATGATTTGGCTTGATATCTAACAGAATTAATGGATAAAGTGGTTTTTTTTTTTTTGCATTTTAAAAGATAGTGTAGCAAAAATATCCACTTAATAACTAACACAAGGAAATATAGCCACCAGCATGTACGTGCACACACACACACACACACACACTTTTGAGCTAATATATATATATTCTGCTTTTGAGCCAAGAAGTTACCAATAATCTGAGCAAACTACTTCCTTCTTATAGTGTCATAAAAGACATGGTAGGACATAACTGTCAAAGTGTCCAGCTATCCCTGGCCAAAGGGATATGAGCTCTATTCTGTAGGGATATTAGAAACCATCCGCCTAGGAAGGCCTCAGCAATTATAGGCAGCCTATAAATATATGCAAATAAATAAATAACCTTCTTTCAACAGATATGCTGGTTTGAAAGTATAAGCTGGCAAATGCCTTCCTTAATAGTGCACTGGTAAATCCTTGCATCAGAAGATGAGGTGGCTGGATGGAGTCACTGGGGCAGTGGGTGTGGGATTGGGTGGACACTGAGGGATGGTGGAGGACAGAAAAGCCTGGAGGAATGTTGTCCTTGGGGTTGTGATGGGTCGGGCACATCTTTGCAACTAAACAAAAACAAACCTTGTATGTGTGGCTTAATGGATTACTTCCTGATTTATTCAAAGCATTATTTGTCACCATGTCAAAAAATGACAAACTAAAGTTTGATCAAAAGGTCGCAAACTGCAGTTTTCCTACAAACCAAGATTGATCATTAGAATAAAACCCAGGATGATGATCCTGTTGTGTTCATAGGTTTCCGCATTCAGGTGCAATTGCAAATTATAGACTGATCAAACTACTAGAAAATAATTACACTGTGTGAGGAGAGGAGAGGAGAGGAGAGCAGGGTAGGCAAGAGTAAGAATAGTTTCTGGTGCTCCAGACAATGGTTTGGAAGTTCATCTGAACATAGTCTCTATTTGCACCCTACCAAAACAAAGGCTCATAGATGTTTGTATTGCTTTTCTAGCTTTTCCAGTTCAAATGCACAAATGTAAGCCATTTGTATAAGCAGAAGTAAATATTCTAAATTGGATGGACCTACCAACCACTAGAATTAGAAATATGTGGTACTCTAATACCATGTGCTAGTTTCTTGGCAAAGTGGCCTAACTATGGTAATAAATGTCTGGATCTTTGGAAAAAATATATTTGTACTAACCTCAACCATGAAAGAGAATATAATACTGAAAAATGCATACTTCCAATTTAACACCCCATGCAAGATATCAAATTGTTCATTTGTCTTCGGTAAACATTCAGAAATTAAGAGGAACAGAGGAAATACTCACCATCTCTTCGATTAAGCCTTGCGAATCCTGGACTGTGACTGCTGGACAGCTCTGATGAACTACTGAATGATGATTGAGGCAAGGCAGACACCAGCGGATCATCACAATTATCTGTTAGAGAAAAACATCACGCTTTAGGCTTACACACTTAAACAAGGACTGCTGAAAACCATAACTAAAATAGAACATCGGCAAACTTCAGAATTGACCTTATACATCTCTGATCACGTTTCTCACAATGTTTGTCTTGGGTCTATTACAAGTACCAGAACTGAGCTGGCACTTTTTGTTTGATCAATATTTCATCAGATTATCATGATGTAATTTACAGGGTTCCCTGAGTCTTTCTGTACACCTTGTTCTAACCTTACCTGCAAGACAGACTTGATGAATGGCGCAGAGCTTGCTAGCTTCTATTTATGGCCCCCACAACTGACACCTGCCAGTACAGCTTCAGCTTGAGTAACACCAAGCTATGTATGGCCTGAACATATGCCATATATATCGCTCAGTGTTAAAGGGCCATCACGCTGCCAATGATAACTATCTCTGGATAGAGAGAAAGAGAGATTTAAAGAAAATCCCATTTAAAAATAAACTAGGTGCTTGAGTAAGTGGGCATCTTTGTTATATCAATAGTTTTATTTATTATTTATTTTTTTAATTTCTATCCTGCATTAAATTAGTTTGAGGACACTCTAAGTGGAGAATTTTGTGTGCATGCATGAGTGTCTGAAATGCAGAAGAGACATGAAATCATTATTGGACAATTATTAGTATGCGAGTCTTCAGCTTTTTACACAAAGCAACAGTGTTTCAAAAAAAAAAAAAAAAAAAAAGGATTGACCAGTGGTTCACAATCAATGGCACAGAAGCATGCAGATCCTAATCAATATTTTTGGATGTTAAATCTTTTTCCAGCTTGATTGCTAAATAGAACACACATTCTTTCTTCATTTATATTTGCAAATAAATAAATAAATTGAGAATCAATACCTGCTCTAGTTTTAGCTGAAAGGAGATTGAATGAAAACCCAAAGAAAAGTTGAACACAACCCTGCCCTGATCACACTTTGTTGGAATTTGCTGTTCAGTAAAGGTTGGAAAATTATTAAAACCAACAGTGTCTGTAAAGTGACTAACATATTCAAGTATACTTGGTGGTTCAGTACTGAGGGTGGTAGTATCCTTGACTGTAGCCAGCAGAAAAAAGAGGATCAATGATGCATTTTCTGATCTTTCAAGAAGGCTGTTCAATGGAGCTAAAGTGTTTACAATATCATTTCTGCAGTTTAAGAAGGAATTAATTCTAATTCATTTTGTATCCTCCCAAATACAATAATATTTTAGAAAGTAAGGAAATAAGAAAACAATTATCTGTGTACAACAAATCATGATGAGAACTATTAGTGCACAATCTTTTACAATATCTGTACAGGGGGTTCAAGTAACTTTGTTTCTCTTCTCTATGGGAGCTGTGTTCATACAAATCAGTTCACATCCAGGATGCTGAAATAAAGATTTTTTCCCCCCAGTCGATCACTTAGTCTGCTGAAATATTCCTTTGAGCACAGATCTTTGAAACAAGAATGTAAGACCTGCTTGTGCACTGTCCCTCTGTACTAGCATTCTGTCTGCTGCAGGGGCCTGGGAAGTGCCATTAAGTCATTTTCAATCCATAATGGCCTTATGAATGAAAGCCCTCCAAAATGTCTAGTCCACGACAGCTCCATTCATCTACCCAAAGTTCAAGGCAGTGGCTTCCTCTATGGATTCAGTCCATCTTATATTTGGTTTTCCTTTATGCCTTCTGCCTTTGACTTTCCCTAACACGACTATCTTCCCCAGAGAGTCTTGCCTTCTCATGATGTGCCTGATGTATAACAGTCTTAGTTCTGTATGTTACAGATCTCCCAAAATGACATTAAGCTTGAAACATTGGCTTTTAGAGATTGCATAGGATCATATGCTTCATGCTTTGCTTAATTCTTGTTATCTGGGAAATTCATAATACCTCCTCTAGCAATATGCTTTGGTGACATTAGAACACAACAGTAGGATTGAGCAAGAACTGTATTTCTCTTTGGTTTTGACAAGAATCCACCAGAATTCACAATGCACATTTCAGAAGTACATTTGTAAGCTGAAGCTAGCCGGTCAATTGCATTCATCCCCAGACATGTTCATCTGGCCACAGCCACACATGCCTTAATTGCATCCTGTTTGGACTACTATTAACAAACCTTTGGAACCTCTTCAGAAACTTCAGTTGATCCAGAACGCTGTGGCCAAATTGTTCATCAGGGCCAGTAACTGGTAGCATTTCACTCCCATGTTATTATAGCTTTTCTGTCTACTGGTTTGTTGCTGGGTACAATGAAGTGCTAGTTTTCTGTAAAGTCCTATATAGCTTGGAACAAGACTCCTTGAAAATACATATTCTCCCATACAAGACTTTTGGGAGAGGCCCTTATTTCAGGACCACTACTTTCAAAGGTGTTCTTGGTGGGGACATGCCGGAGAGTTTTCTCAGTAGCTACTCCCAAATTGCGGACCTCCTTGCTAAGGAAGACTAAGTTGGATCACACTCTGTTGTCCTTTTGTTGGCAGGAACAGATATTGTTGTTTAAGCAGGACTTAGGTGTGTATGTTGACCTGTTGGGCTAGGTATTGCTTATTTTTCTGTTATAGTTTTCAATTGCATTCAAAGTATTTGTTTTATTACTGTTTCATTTAAATTTTATAGTTACAACAGTAAACCAGCTAGAGAACCATCTTCCTGGTAGAAAGGTGAGGTACACATCAACAAATATCTAAGTTTGCTGCACTAAGGACAAAAAGAACTTGAAAGACAGAGGGGAGAAACTGGCAGTTCTTACCATCCAAACCCAAGGCTTTGGGTGCTGTGTTCATAGCATGGGGTTGAATGCTGAATTAAGATTGCAACATTTGTTATGGGATCTACATCTTTAACAGCTACATGGAATGCTGATATAGCATGGCCTTCTCCATATTTGGAAGAGATGCACATATTGAATTTTGGCTGGTGCAGACAGGTTAGAAAAATTTTATTTATTTATTTATTTATTTATTTATTTATTTATTTATTTATTGAAAGCATTTTTATGCCGCCCCCTTTGCAACAAGCCTCGGGACGGTTTACAAAGCAAATAAACAAATGTTGAATAAAGTTTAAAAATCCGGATACATCTCAGCAGAGCTATAGAAACCCAATAAATAAAAACAATTACCAGTTAAAATATCGTTTAAATAAAAAGGTCTTGGCCTGGCGCCAAAAAACAAATAACAAATAAATATTTCTGTCTGCATTTTGAAAAGAATTGTTTAAAAATTGCCAAGTTATCCATATTCTTGACAAAAAGAAATTGAGATTAAACAATCAATGTACAAGAAAGCAAAATTAATGGGTTCATCTATCCCTGCACAGGGACTGCAGGCGGTGCAGTGGTTTAAACTGCTGTGCTGCTGGGCTGGTTGATCAAAAGGTCACCAGTTCGAACCTGCACAACGGGGTGAGTTCCCGTTGCTCCATCCCAGCTCCTGCCAACCTTGCAGTTTGAAAGCATGCAAATGCAAGTAGATAAAAAGGTACCACTTTGGTGGGCAGGAAACAGCATTCCATGCACTTCGGTGTTTAGCCATGCCGGCCACATGACCATGGAGACAGTCTATGGACAAACGCTGGCTCCCTCGGCTAGGAAATGGAGATGAGCACCGCCCCCTAGAGTCAGGCATGACTGGACTTAATGTCAAGAGGAAATCTTCCTTCACCTTTACCTTATCCATGCCCAACAGAGAGCAGACTCCTCCTTGAAGTCATATAATAACATGATCCACTGCATTTGATTCAGCCAAGCCCCTAATAAATTCATGTAAATCTTGGTGTTAACTGAATGAATGAACTGCAATGCTTGAGATGCGATTGCTGTTTTCAGAGATGAATGCCATCAGTGTGTCTGGCCATCCTTAAAGGGTTCACAATGTATTTGTGAACTGGATTGAGACAATACAATCACTCACATTCAGGGGCTAGTACAAATGGAATGGAGATTCTTGCTGAAATGTGGGCTACCAGGTTGTCTGAACCCACAGAATTATCTGAAATGGAGACGTAACAATTTATGGCTCAGGGTGCTATCCCATCCATGTGTCAATGGAAGGTCCTATGATTCCCAGCCTTCCCCAGCCAACCATACTGGGAGTTGTAGGTCTCTCTTCTGTCTAAACAAGCTTGGAATTATTACCCCTGTCACTATTCTACACTAGTTCAAGATTAGGGCTAGAAGAGAAACTAAAAGTATTGTAGAGGATATTAATGACCTTACTACCTGTAGGTTTTCCAATTTCTAAGCCTTTGTTAGATTTACATACACCTTTCTGAGCTTTCAACTTTACTTATGATGGCTGGAAAGCCTTTTCAAAATGAAAACAGAGATTTTCAGGCTGTTATATTCAGGCTCCGGTAATAGTGTAATGCATCTACTATTAAGTATAATAGCTTATGCAAACAAATATATCTTCTGTTAATGCTTCTTGTAGGCCAGAACAGCACAATCTGGGCCATGGTTGTTGCATACAGCCATTGAACGCTTAAGTGTGATCTCCCCACCTCAGCATCACTAGACTGAAGTACCTTCTCCAGCGATGTGTGTGCACCTCCCAAACCCATGTGAGAATCACATGTGGCTCCTGGGTTCAAAAAAGTTGTTTCAAGAAAGAACAAATACAATTCCAAAGGCCTGCAAGAATCCTTAAACAAAACATGCTGAGTGTTTTGGACAGTGTGCTCAGCCCTGTGTATGATGGCAACAGCAGTAACAACAAAGAGTGCACTTTTTAACACATGAAGACTACGTTTTAATCACCATGATATACCCAGAAACCTGCAACTGAATTTAGCACAATTTCTCAAAATGTTAGAGCTCCATAATGTAGTAAAATTAGGGACATGCGTACAAGCCAGAACTCCCCTTTGTTGAAGATCTTAAGATACCACTTTGACTATTCAGTCATATTCAATGCCATATTGAGATATTAAGTAACATCTCCAGATCAGATTGAGTTTGATTTGGTTCTCTTTCTACATGAAC